TAAGAGACTACACCCTAAAAGAAGATGCATTTTGCAAAGACAGTAAAAGCCTGCCATTCCCAGGAGGAGTTCTAGCAAGGTGGGCAGCAGCCCAAAGCAGCCAATTAACAGTGATAACAAAACCGATGCAAAACTGTGACACAACGGTTGTCAACTTTGTCTCTTCTGGAGACCCAGAAAGTCTGGTCTGCTGCTGCTATTCCTGTGAGGGGAAGAGGAGGAAAAGAGGAGGGTGTGCAAAGCACGTAATGAGGCCAGGACTGGCCACGAGTTTCAGCTTTCCACTAACCCAGAGCAGAAAGCCTGGCTTCTCTCAAACGCTTCTCTCTTCCAGCCACAACCCCATTCCTCTTCCTACCTAAATGGCCACTTTAGCCATTTACCCTTCATAGCAAAATTCATTTGGGTCATACGGCAGAAAAATCTTAAGCCAGCTCTGCATCCATATTTAATTTTAACATTGTAAGAATACAGCTACTAACAACAGTGAAAGTCCTCATGCACATAGTGTTTGCAGGATTACAGTTTGCCTGACTTTTTATGGATACTGTTTAAAAGTAAATCTAGATGAGGACTGAAAGAGAGAAATCAGACAGGAACGAAGACTCAAATGCAGCAGGGAATCCCAAATTATTTGGACACGATTATTTGGACTCCAACTGTGTTTGGACCATGTCCAAACCACAACCTAATCATAAAAAGACTTAAGCAAATGGCCATTTTAGAACTCTATATCCTTAATTTTGAGAATATATGTATAAATGTTCATAGGTCTTGGCTTAGCTTTGATGTTCCTTAATACAGGGGCCAGTATCATCTCATTTATCTTCACACCAAGCATACTGTAACTTCATAAAGAAATTAAAATGTAATAAAATGAAATAAGAAATATGGCCAGATATCAGCAAGCACCAACCTCTAAGAAACAAGAAAAAACTTATAAGAAGATCTTACACAGGCGAATTTTTAACTGGTTTTAAGAAACTCCCTTTATCTTAATCTTAATTCTTTCATTTTTAGTTTATTAACTTAATGCAACTGTTGCTACAAAGGTATTTATAACTTTTGCTTGGGAATGTAAATATAAGCTATTTTTGAAGTGCTGAATCAAGAAATACACCTCATGCAGATACATCTTATCTATTGTTTTTCTGTGCTTAAAAAAACAGAATGATCAAGAGACAGGCTCTCGGGAGAGGTACTCAGTCTGTGTGGCAGTGCTGCTCTATAATTACTCTAATTGGCTCAAGATTTCTTTATTAATGTTTCCATGGAAATCCTGGCTGTAATAGCTGCTTGCAAATGGGGCCTATTTTTGGTAGCTTAAAAGTATCAGGATGTCTCTTAAACTCGTATTTGTGCTTTGTGCCTTTGTTTGTTTCAAGGAAACTGAAAAACAGCTGCTGCAGACTTTGAAACAGGCAGAGGTGAATGCGACAAACACGAAGGAAACTAAAGAAATACAGAGAATCAGGTAAGAATCCTGAAGGCAGACCCACCAACTCTGTTTGCCCCCCCCCCCAGCCCTTCGTGTTGTGACAGTTTTACTCTCTTAACATTTCATGGAAGTTTATTTACTCCTGGGCCAATAAATATCTAATGCACCAATATCTGAAACGTGGTCCACCGACATCTTTACCTTTGACAGGCCATTAAAACCACGGATTGTACCCCCAGCGCTCAAAAAGGAGGGAAGTATCCAGCTGAAATGTAGAGGTGCTTCTGCAATTAAAACTGAAGAACTTAAGCAAACCTAGGTAAGGTGCCAGTGCAGCTCACTGCGTTTGCCTTCATTTCAGTCATCGTTTGAGTTTAAATACGGATTAAGAAGCAGAATTACCTTGTTCCATCTTGTTTCTATTTTCCAAGTTTTCACAAATTGTTTGAAGCAAGCTATTAACAAAAGCAGAACAACAAAAACATTCCCCAGACCAGCAGAGAGCAGCGTTAGGTGTGTGAAATACCCTGGCCAATGCCGAGGGACCCAACGAGCCGGTACCGGGGCACTGCTAAGGGGTAAGGCCGGCCCTTCGGGGGAGGCGGGGGGGTCGCCTCCCTCCCACGGATGCTACCGGGGGAGCTTGTGCCCCCACCGACTCCAGTGGGGACCAGGCTGACGAGCAGCGAGGACCAGCAGACGGGTTGTGGAGGGCCAGGGACGTCTGAGCGGGCTGCCTCCCCCACACCGCGGGGCGACGTGCTCCCCGCAGGGGCTGCCATGGCGCAGGCCGACCCCGCCACGCTCAG